CCCCCCCCCCAGGGAAAATTCCTTAAAAAAGGCACTGACTTACAGTACGTTGATTCAGTTCACTGGCTAGATCCGCACCTGCACTGTTCTCACTGTTCAGCACAATTTCGGAGCAAGATAGTTCTGCTTTGCTTTGCTTTATGAAAACATATGTTGATAAATATTTTGACAATCAGGTACGTTTCTTTCTTTTATCCAATTTTATCCTTAATTCGAATTTAGACGTTTTAATATTCACGTGGAAGCACAAGTATTGAAAGGCCTTCGGCACTACGGCTTCCGAATTCTTCGTTCTTTTTGCGTCGATTCGTGCGTGCGGTGCGTTGTTCACTCAATGGACTTTGGCCACTGTCAGTTCTATATTATTATAAAGTTTTGGTTTCTTAGCTAGTGTAACTGAATCTGCGTATTATAATGTGATAAATGCGCCTATAGGAGTAAACAGACATGATATGAAATCCGATAGCAAAACTTGTGTTATGTGAAGTAATTTACCTGTATGTTAATGAGACGCATATGTTTAATATCTGTCACCTGTGATTGCCATTTAACCCCTGGTCTTATAAACATTGCTTTTTCTCAGTTCCACTAATTTTGTAATATGTAATTTTATTTAATTTGCCCAAAATAGCTAATTACATTAATTTTCGATTATAATTACAACCATTACAATACAGGGCTAGGACACTACTAGAAACCTCTACAGGCTTTTATTTTAGACCCCTAACTTACATTAATACTAATAGATTATATAATAAAGTTTTTGACAGTTCGAAACTTAAAACAAAACAAATTATGAATAATAATAGTAGTGTTTACAGTGCTAAAAAGTTGATTTTTGTATATAGTCTAAGAATATATATATATATGAATTTTCCCAGGTTCTGGAAGAGCATTGGGCTAGTATTCCAAAGGTCGTAGGTTCGAATCCCACCGTGGCCGGGCATATTTTTCAAGCTCGCCAGGTGTGGATATACACTCAGAGTAACACCACAAATATCATATTCACCTGAGTACACTGCACCAACACAGAAAAAATTCATATTACTAGAATACATTGGTATTGAAGGAACTAGATTCTGTTCCGAAATATCACTTACTCGAACCGTCCTGACCGCGTAGCTCAGTTGGAAGAGCATTGGGCTAGTATTCCAAAGGTCGTAGGTTCGAATCCAACCGTGGCCGGGCATATTTTTCAAGTTCGCCAGGTGTGGATATACACTCAGAGTAACACCACAAATATAATATATATATATATATGTTATTTACCGGCTGCGAGGTCCGTACTGACGCTTCTGAGGCCGAGGGAAAATATTTTTTTTAGTACGGACCGACCTAAACGGTAAATAACGTGTTTATTTTTTTATTTGATAGTTCATGGTTATAATCGGAAATTCCGATCGATAAAATTCCAGTTGCGAAGTACATTTGAGATCAGTTGCGTTTGTTATACTTTAGTGCAAGCATGGCTGACAAACTGCTAAAACGACGCGATAAAAGCTGGATAAAAAGCTTTTAGTTTCATTGCAATAGATGCTTTTCTACTCAACAAGAAAACAGAAGGTAAACAAAGTAAAAATATTTATTTTCCGATTCGTTTTGCAGCATGGGCAAGCTTGAAAAATGCCGGTAAAAATCATAATTCACGAAAACATTACGGAAAAATTTTCGTATGTGGGACCGAAAAGTTACGATATGCCCGGAAAAAATTTAGTATTTCCGGAAAATTGACGATTTGTCCGGAAAATATTTTGCATTCCAGGAAAAATTACGATATGTCCGGAACAATTTTGGTATATCCGGAAAAATTGGCAATAAAAATCTGTTTAGTGTATTTTTTATAATTCATGATCAGGAGCAAACAGAAATCAAATTTAGCAAGTATTTTGACGAATATGTGATTCTCAAAGTTGATCGGTACAGTCGAACACTCACTCCTTGCGATCGAAGGGTTTGGTAGAAAATGCGGGTTGCGGGTTAGGGGTTGCGGATAGTTTTTTGCGGGTAGTTTTTTTGGGGGTTGCGGGTAGATTTTTTTAAAAATTTGATGTGCTATTTAATGAATAAATTTGAAATAGTATATAGAAAATATAATAGTTTTCACAACTATATTTGCTAATTCATTGATAAGCTTCCTTTGTAAAAATAGATTTATTTATACAACCTTTCGTTCATATTACACTTATTTCCCCTGCACAACACAAAATCGAAAATATACATTATAATTATGAAGCCCCAGTTACATGATACTGGAGTTGCTTGTTAGTTTATAACCTGCGCCGAACAACGAGACTCGAACGAATTATATGCAACTATGTAAATTGATTTCATTGAAATCGCGAAAGCTGATCGGTTTACATATTTTACAAGTTTTATCAATATTATTATTAGATGAGGTCATGGATAAGCCCTGTCGTAATGTTGATGTTAACAACTTAGTATGTAATACTATTGAATGTTCTACTATTGATGTAGAATGTAATGTTCTACTATTGATCCCAATTTTTGGGAGTAATCCACACAATCTTATCCACATTAGTCCAGAAGAACCATTACAAGACGATTCGCTAAGTAATAATGGTGCAAAATTTTGTCTCTTAAATGGCTCATTCTCTGAACAATAAGTCAGCTCAGTTTACTGACTTTATATGTGAGCACACACCTGACCTTGTCGTGGTCACTGAGACATGGATTACGGATAAAGAATCTGCTGTTAAGACCCTATCTACTCCATCAACCTATAAGTTTTTTGACGAACCTCGCCTCAACCGCCGAGGAAGTGGTATTGGATTATTATTTAAAGAAAATATTCTGGTTACCAAAATTGCCGGTGGTGAACGACAATCGTCATTATCATTTATAGACCACCTTACTCTGAAACCCATCCTGTTACCACTTCTATGTTTTATTCAGAGTTTTCTGAATACTTGGTGTCAGTTGTTTTAAACACTGACCCCGTCTTAATTGTTGGCGACTTCAACATTCATGTCGACTGTCATGATAACACTGATGCTGTTAAATTACTTGAGCTATTTGAAAGTGTCGGACTTGGTCAACATGTACACACTCCTACTCATTGTAGTGGGCATACCCTTGATCTTATTGTCACCCGACAAACTGATCAGATCATCGCTTCATCTCCTAGAGCTGACTGTTTGTTTTCTGATCACATTGCAGTATTCTGTCAATTACAACTGGACAGAGTTCCTCGAATTAACTCAAAAGTTTCGTATCGCAATCTCGCGGCCATAAATCTGGATGCCTTGCGGAAGGATTTGTCTAACTCTATCCTCTGCGAAAACATGGAATCATTTGATCTAAATGAGCTTGTATAAACTCTAAAAAAAAACAAAAAAACTACCCGTAACCCGCATTTTCTACCAAACCGTGCGCATAGGCGTGAATAATTCCGGTGCTTAAAGGCGGTTTTCCACTAGGCGAAATTTTTCGACCGAATCGAAATTTCTCTTTGTTTCAGAGCTCTCGAGCAGAACTAATTGTAAAAAGACAAAGAGAAATTTCGTTTCGGTCGAAAAATTCCGCCTCGTGGAATCCGGCCTTAAAGCAACTGCATAGGTAATGTGCCGAAAAAATCACGAAACATATTTTGACACATTCATGCGTTATGTAATATGGAAATAAACTGGAAGAACTATTTAATTGGCTGTAAAAACAATAATAATTCCCCCACTGTATGGATCTCTATCCCGCATCCGTGTTTGTTTCATCTTGGCCGAAGTGTGGGAGAGGGGACATCCATTTCGCTCCTATTTCTTCATTAGAGATTATAAATATAAATTCTAGAATCATTTAAATGTTCTTGTCCTGCATGCATGCATGCATGCAATTGCTTGTTATAGCCATATAGGCTGGAAAACTGATAAGGATTACATTGAAAGATAAACTATACTATGTTTCAGTTGTATGCAAAATTAAGATTCCAAACTATTCTGACCTTGTCTTTAAAGGGCGCGGTGGGTGTGATAAAATAGGACTGATAAAAACCAGAATGAAGTAGCCGAGTCTTTAGCACGACATTATCACAAAATGTGTTGGAATGCCCTGTTTCAATTATAGTCCACTTTAGATCGCGATGAGTGATTTGAGAATTTTAATCCAATTATTAATAATGTTCATGAGAGCCTGCGAGCAGGCTCTGGTCACCGTTATTCGATTCGATTTCAAACCCTGCAAAAATGGCTGCATGTTTAAATAGCCAACTAAGGCCTGTTTTATACGTCGAATTTCGGTCGCGTCGAATGCAATTCAAACAATAGATAATGAAGCTTAATGTCCTTAATGAGGTTTATCATCTCATCTTAATTAATTGCATTCGACGCGACCAATATTCGGCGTATAAAACGGGCCTAAAGCCGGTTTTCCACTAGCGAATTTTTTCGCGAGAAGCGAATTTTCCTTTTGTCTTTATCCAATTAGTTCCAGTTGAGAGACCAAAGACAAATGAAAAATTCGCTTCGCGCGAAAACATTCGCAAGTGGAAAACCGGCTTAATAGAGAAGTCTGGTGTTGGCAACACTAAAATACTAAAGGCCAGTCCGGTCGGAAAAAGGTTAGCTTACAAATTGATCAGGCAAGATGTAAGGCAGGAGGCCGAAAAACAGTTTTCCCCCCATTAATTAATGAGCGACGACCTATATGCGTTATGTTGGTCGATAGGCTGCTGTAATGAATTGATTCCTAACTGCAAATTTAATTTGATTCTTAAACTTATTAAACTCCTTCGTTTGGCTTATTTGACTTTTTCAATAAATTCGCAGAACAGAGCTATACAGGGTGTCTCAAAAAAACGCTACGGAAATTCAACAGGCTGTTGTGCATCATAAACGTAGCTAAACAGTTCGTTTTTACATAGGAAGAAAGAGCTGTTATTTAGCTTTTCTATGACACCTTTTTGAAATCGTAACGATGAGAAATGGCTACACACTCGTCAAATAAAAATTTCTGGTCGAAATCACATTCTTCCACCGTTGGGAATTGAATACATTAATTATGCAAAGTTAGTCAATCCAAAAGCAACACGAGCCTGCTGCAAGCTATTTGTTTCATAAAACGTTTTGATAACGAATGTTCTCTGTTCAGGGGTTAATTGAACCATGTTTCGTACCAAATTCGTATTGAGTTATTGTCTCACTAAGACGAAGATTGACGAGTTGAGCTTATTTTAGATAATTTAACATTCAATTTAATTCCCTCTTGGGAAATGTTTATGTTTCGTTTTCGATGCAATTCCCAACGGTGGAAGAATGTGATTTCGACCGGCAATTTTTATTTGACGAGTATATCATCGTTACGACTTAAAAAGAGTATCATTGAAAAGCTAAATAACTGTTCTTTCGTCCTATGTAAAAATTGAATTGTTTAGCCACGTTTATGATGCACGACAGCCTGTTTAATTTCCGTAGCGTTTTTTTTTAGACACCCTGTATAGCATTGATCCCAAATGAAATGAGTATTTTATAAAATTCAAAGTTCTACATGAATATGTAATGTGTCATGTGCATGTGAAATTTTTCTAGACCTAAGGCTATTGAAGCTTTCAATGTAAAGCCTTCGATGCTGTCAATGAATACTATTTTATTTGATAAACTTGATTATTTTGGTGTTGGAGGTGTGGTTAAAAACGGGTTTGTGTCTTATCTTAATAATCAAAAGCAACAGGTTGCCATTACTACAAATATAACTTCATCAGAATATTGTTGTGTACAAAAAAGGTGTGCTTTTGGATCATTACCACGCATCATTTCCATGTACGTAATTGGCTCGGCCTCGGTGCATGCTACTGAACAAAGCTAAATATCTCTCAAGACTGAAGAAATTAAACTTTGTAATATTTCATTCATCGCGAAGGAAGATATACCCTCAAAATTTGATCTAATTTTTATTAATAATAAATTTAAGTCAGTGTCGAGAACATTGCATTGAATACCTTGGGCTTGGCGACGTCCTAACTGATTCTAACTCTGAAGACATCAAATTGACTATAGCTCTTTCCGGCTAAAGTGCGTCTCGAGCTCTGCATCTGTAACACCTTCTGAAATTTTGCACAAAATCTTTAATCTTTAACTATAGAACGATAATCTTTTTATGTTTATTTTTAAAAAGGTTTACCTCTTCGCAAACCCTGAAACTAAGTATATAATAATAATCGAATTTCTAAATTTCTAATAGCAAGAAAATTGCTGCGAGGTAGACGTGGCTTGAATAGGTTTGCTAATGCAGCAATTGCAGTTCAATTCTATATTATACACATACATAATAAAGTCAACGCTGCAACATTAGTAAATACTAAATATATCCATCGTAGAAGGTTTTAGCTTATATAATGACATTGACATTGTTTTTTTTTAACGATGGGATGCGCACAATGTGTAATAGCTGTTTTCAGAACAGCTCTTTCGCATTTTTTGGGCAACGTTGTATTTGGAATCTAATTAGAGGCTTTACAAATCGGCTTGTTCGATACACAGAGACGATCAGTATCGGCCCAATTTAAATTCCGTTGCAAATACGATATTTAGTATTGTCGCGAAATGCGAATAGAAACTCATTTTAACTGCTATGTAAACAGTAAACTGCAAACTTCAAGAATAAAACACTTTTGCCGGCACGGCAGATAGATAACTCATAAGATGAAACAAGATACGTCGCGCGCGCACGATTAACCTAAAGATCTATTCAACACCTAGGAGGAATAGGGTCATATAGAATGAAAATTTTATCTATTTTGATTTATAAGTTTACCCCAAACGGCATATGGTTGTCAAAACATGTTTTACTTTTAAAAATGGAGAGATATCTTGTTTTCGCATAAAATTCTTCAGTAATTGATAAAATTCACGTTCTATCAAATATAATGTAACTATGTAGCTAAACACTATAGATTTACTTTCGCCACGATCTCTGGAATTTATTTTACATTAGAGGCAGTTACAAGCACAATAGAGAGAGTTATCAATATTTTACTAGCCAGGGGACCAAATGAACTAAGTGAACCACAAGTGAACCAAATAAACCACAAGAACCAAGTGAACCACAAGAACCATGTGAACCAAGTGAACCACAAGAACCAAGTGAACCACAAGAACCAAGTGAACCACAAGAACCAAGTGAACCATGTGAACCACAAGAACCAAGTGAACCATGTGAACCGAGTGAACGACAAGAACCAAGTGAACCACAAGAACCAAGTGAACCACAAGAACCAAGTGAACCACAAGAACCAAGTGAACCATGTGAACCGCAAGAACCAAGTGAACCATGTGAACCGAGTGAACCATGTGAACCATGTGAACCAAGTGAACCACAAGAACCAAGTGAACCATGTGAACCAAGTGAACCATGTGAACCATGTGAACCAAGTGAACCACAAGAACCAAGTGAAGTGAACCAAGTGAACCAAGTGAACCATGTGAACCATGTGAACCAAGTGAACCACAAGAACCAAGTGAAGTGTGAACCAAGTGAACCAAGTGAACCACAAGAACCAAGTGATGAAGTGAACCACCATGTGAACCAAGTGAACCATGTGAACCAAGTGAACCATGTGAACCAAGTGAACCATGTGAACCAAGTGAACCACAAGAACCATGTGAACCAAGTGAACCACAAGAACCAAGTGAACCACAGGAACCAAGTGAACCACAAGAACCAAGTGAACCACAGGAACCATGTGAACCAAGTGAACCACAAGAACCAAGTGAACCACAAAAACCAAGTGAACCACAGGAACCATGTGAACCAAGTGAACCACAAGAACCAAGTGAACCAAGTGAACCAAGTGAACCAATTGAACCATGTGAACCAAGTGAACCACAAGAACCAAGTGATGAAGTGAACCACAAGAACCAAGTGAACCATGTATGTGAACCAAGTGAACCAAGTGAACCATGTGAACCAAGTGAACCATGTGAACCAAGTGAACCACAAGAACCAAGTGAACCATGTGAACACAAGAACCAAGTGAACCAGAAGAACCAACTGAACCATAAGAACCAAG